GTCTGTCTGTCACAGTATTCTTTTTTATTCACTCATACACTTTGCTTCTGTTTTCTTGTTCTGCTTCTTTAGTCTGTGTTTTTACTCGTTCTTATCATAATCATTTTGTTATTATATTTTACAACATTTCCTATTGGTCAGAATTATTACCGTTACAGGTACTTTAATAACAGAGGACTCTATTGGTCATTTCAAAACTGTAAACAAATACACTTTTATTCTTAAAAAATAATTCATATATAATGTTGCCTTCGTTAGAAATTTCTGAATATGTGAAAAAAATGTAAGCTCTCCAAAAAAAATCGAAAAATGTTTTGATGAAGAAGGAAAATAATATGAAATACTTACTTGCAGGTAAGGTAGCAGGTAGTAGAGCAGGTTAATGCAAGAGTTGCATGCCAAGACAAACTCCTTAACCTATATTAGGACAGTAGAAAGACGCTTCGCTGATATACACCTAATTGCAAAACTTTTTTTTTCTTAAATTTTTATCTGGCAATATTTTCACATTTAGGTGTAAATTATGATTAGGGATAATCCCATACATTACGTTTTCCCATTTCAAACTCGATTGGTATAATATTCTTTGTTTGAGTGTCAACAATCGCTTAAAAGAGAAAATGCTCAAGGGAATGACACATGGTCTGTAATGGGAAAACATTGCACCATAGCTGAAAAGCATTCCTAGTAAAGAAAGAAATAATACTCAAGGGAATGACACATGGTCTGAAATGGAAAAACATTGCACCATAGCTGAAAAGCATTCCTAGTAAAGAAAGAAATAATACTCAAGGGAATGACACATGGTCTGAAATGGAAAAACATTGTATTATAGCTGAAGAGCATTACTAGTTAAGAAAGAAATAATACTCAAGGGAATAACACATGTGGCCCAGAGCGTGCTATATTCAATAGTAAAGTATATATAACGATGACAATATTAAAACGTTTTCTTTAACCTACAGGAATTTATCCTGAACAACGCCAGTCAGACAGAGCAGCTTCTCGCAGCCATTCTTGAACACACGTCCATCACCATGTTGCTCGTACCGTACTTCTGTCCTATCGATAACCCAGAGAAATTTACCACCATGTATCATGAAGTCATGCAGATTACTGACAGGGACTTGGCCTTTTCCTTGCTGACCAAGGTGAGGTTTCTTGTGTTACGTGTCACGTCATCTGTGACAGCGTTGCGTTACATTTGTTTAAACATTAGTACCCAGGATATCCCTCCTATTAGTAAAGGACCTGACTTTTGTTTGCTCACCAAGGTAAGGATTGTTGCGTTACATGTCACAGCGATGACAGCTTTACGTGACAGTATTCAAGCAACCCCCAATCGGCAAATAAAAGTACCTGTAGAGTAAATCGTGATTGCGTGACTATTTGCGTGACTAACGCAAGAATTTTATTTGTCTTTAGTTTGATTTGGAAAAGTGGCTCTCTTCACCAAACAGCTCGTTCATGGAACGTTCACGTCTGACCTCTGCGGTATTTACAGCCCTTAAATCACTGGGATTAGAACCAGACCCCCAAGTTAAAGCAATAAGCGAGGTAAGTCCTTTCAACCAATAGGAAACTGTTATTTAGATAACGTTATTCTCACGTGACGCACATTTTTAATAGACCGTTAGCATCAGGTTTACTGCTAACCGCTAGGGATCAGGCCCAGAAATACGCCCATAAACACCGAGAAACATTCAGCACTGAAATTCAATATGGCGGCTCTTCCAGCAACAACTTCGTTATGACGTCTTGCTAAATGTCGAAAGTTTGAAGCAAAACGCCTGACGTCGAACTGCAGTTTGAGGCTTGCGGTACCTAGCAAGAACGTCTTGCTAAACGTCTCTAATATTTCTGCAATCCCTTGTAGGTCTATCTCCGACATATGTCGTTAGTTCTGATGTATAATTTCCCTGAACAATACAGCGGCACACTACAAAACCTGTGTGAAGGTATGATTTTCATTTTATGTTGGACCTGATCTAGTTGATGGGTTTCCTGTGTGAAGGTATGATTCTCATATTATGTTGGACCTGATCTAGTTGATGGG